TGAGTGTGTGTGAGTGAGTGTGTGTGTGTGAGTGTGTGTGTGAGTGAGCATATGTGTGAGTGAGCATGTGTGTGAGTGAGTGAGTGATGTGTGGCAGGACCGAACTCCGTACACAAGGGGCGGAGTTTGTGCAAAGTAAATGATCGAGCGGAAAGTGATAAGTTCTGCTCCCATGTACTTACAATGTTCAAATTTGGTACGAGTGTAGAGGACATGATAGAAACTCTCGTGATGGACAGCAGAACAGGTCTCCGCCCACAGTGGGCGGGGCTTTAGCGGAAGTTTTGAATTTGAACCTAGAGCGTTCAAAATTTTTAAGAGTACAGGAGGTACAATGGGAACTCTTATGCTAGGCGGCAGGACCCGACTCCGCCAACAGTGGGCCATTGGGCGGGGTTTAAGCGGAAAATCATAGCTCCTGTTCCCTTAGACCTAGAGAGATCAAATCTGGCGGGTTTGCAGGGGGCGAGATAGTAAAGCTTATCGTTGGTCGCAAGACCGGGCTACACCCACATGGGGCGGGGTTTGTGCCGAAGATTCGGGCATGGCCTTGGGAGGTTTATTCATGGTGGACCGGGCGCGCACAAATTGTGTTGGGTATTTGTTTTCTTCGCCGGAAGTGAACAAATCTTGTTCTTCTCTACCGCAGCCTCCAAATTTGAACAGAGTGCAGGCGAGGAGGTATTCACAACACGAGAAGTAGGGGAGCCCGGCGTTAGCCGTTCGATCCGACTGGTATGAATATAGAAATCTAAAAAGGCTGACGACCTGCCAACACTTTTCCCACTAGTAGAGAAGGTCAATATTCTTCGTAAGGCTCATCTTTTCCCGCTTCCTAACAAAACAAAAAAAGAATTATAGATTACTTTTTTCCATTCCTCACCGTAAACAGCAGGACCCACGCTTTTTAATATGAAACTTCGATATTCGTGCCTGTTAGGGCTAATTTCTGTCGCATCTCACAAAAACGGCACGGAATTCTTTCAAAGTTTTGAAAGACAATGGGATCCTTGACATCAGCAACGAAAGCCTCGAGCATAATGGCAATAGCAATGGTCGTATACTTAGCGAGTTTTTAGAAGATAGAATGATTCGCCTCTCCACCTAACCCTATTCGCCTCCATATGCTATAGTACTGTACTCATATGAAATAACACTGAAACTTTGACTGAAACGGCTTTATTCACAGAGTATTTTCTTGACAAATGTTGGGCTTACCGAGAGCCTAGAATGAATCATATGCCGGGATATCGACTTCAAGGCTTTGACTCTTAAATGCACAGTTCACCATATAAATGTTTTCTGAAATTCCCTCTTAGATAGAATCTATGGCTCCAAAAAAAGAGCATAGCCTTCTTGCGAACGATTGAAGATGGCACTGAATTAGCCCTCACGATTTCGAAGATGCAAGAAGTCCTGCCTAGCTATCTATGCAGATTGCAAGAAACCCTATTTGCGCAACCAATTAATAACGAATGAAGTGGAAGTAATGAATCATTCCTGCTCCGAAGGTTCCTGAATTTTGGCGCCCATAATCTTGAACATACTGTATTTGTGTTCCATAAGGACGCCTCCCAGTGCCAGTGATGTAGAATTAGGATGGAAAACTGCCGTTTGAACATTTCCTTTTGCTGTCTGATAAGAACTACTCTTCCAAAAGGTTGAAAGCAATCCCGGAATATGAACAGTTTTTTCATGAAGAAAGAATGCATGGGCCTTATACACGGACAAATCACAGTTACTCGAAACCTCTGAAAATGGATTATTAAGCTGGATGATTGATGTCAATGAATTGAATGACACGAACTATATCTCCAATACAAGCAAAAATTTTGGTTGAGTATTTTATTAGTTCGATTCAATCTCTCAATCTCATTTCAATATCTTTAATTTCGTGTGTAGTTTCGAGAAAATTTTAACGTCGTGTGTCATAGAGTCAGGATCGCGCAATGTCTGTTCTGATAATCAAACGTCGTCCAATGGAATTCGAGTAACGCATTCCTAGCAGAAAGAACAACATATAAAACGAAAGGAATTCAGATTTGCTGCAAGTCAAAGAGCAGCTCAGCAACGGTAAAATGTCATGTTGAACTATTATAAGAAAATTTGCAAAGACACGTCGACCTTATTTGAGCGCATACGCTCTGAATGCCTTATGCATTTTTTCAGTGGCATTTTTGCACTGTCGTAGGAAAAGTGTGCACAGTAGATACATGTCACGCCAAGCAGGTTTATGTTGGAGGGACGGATGTCACGAGCGGACTTTAGCCTTGCTATCTTGCTAAGCATGAGAACAAGCAGCAACTTAATAGTGGCTAATTACATTCAGCGACCCAAAATGCACAAAAAAAGATTCGTCTTCGCTCATCTGCTTTGACTTGTAGCAAACTCAGGGTCCTTTCGTTTTTTCGGTCTTGCGATTTGTGCTGGCACATTATTACTCGATTTCTGGCTGATGACCTTTGTTCACTAGAATAGACATTGCGAGGTCCTATTACAACAGCACACTACGCTCAAATTCTCCTGAAAGTACACACAAAGATAAAGATGTTGAATTAAGATTGACAAATCGAACTGTGCCAATAAATTGCTCAACTGAATTTTGTTTGCCTGTCTCGAGAAAACAGGTTTAGTCCATCCTATGGGCATCACTCATCTAGCTTGTAAACCATTTTTCAGAGGTTTCGAGTAGCTATAATTTGTACGTGTATCAGGCCCAGACACTTTTCATCATGCAAAAAAAATCATTTACTTTTTGAGATTGCTTTCAACTTCCCGAGGAAAGCGTACCAATCAAACAGCACGGGGGAAGAATCCAACAGCAAGTTTACACCTCAATTCTACACCGCTGGAAAGAAAAGGTATTCACGAATGAAACAGAAATAGATCTACATCTACAAGATCACACATGCCACAACTTCCTTTACACAAGCGGATCTTTTGTTTTGTCATTTGAACTTTCAGTTTATAACGAGACGAGCCAAAGGAGCAAACTCCCAGTTGACAGCAATATTAGAAAAAAGGCTACCAGCGGAAAATCGAAGATTTCAGCGAACGGGCGTGGCTTCTTGTACTAGGGCGGCATCCTTCCCTCGCCGCAGCCGCGCTAAAAAGGGAATAATTTCAATTTCTAGTTGGGGATGACTGCAGTTGCCACCAAGTCACTCCTGCTTGTCGTTAGGAGTTCGATCGACAAGGAGAAGTTCGGTGATAAAGAAACATCTGAACTTCACAGGATTGACTCTTGCTATTTGTCAATTGCGAGCTAGGCTGCTCGTTGGATGTCAGTTGGTGCATAAAATATTTTTTCCAGTGAGATGATTATCATGTGGATTTTCCTATTCAGTTTGATTAGCTGCAGCTTCATCTGTTGTTTGCCCTACACGTAGAGAGCTAATAGAAACAGGCCTGTTTTTTCGTAAAATCGATCTCGTTTCATGAGCCGCAAGCGGATCTTCCCGTTGAGATTTCTACTAGCAAAATGACAGGTGTTTCACTTTCAATTTCTGCGCAGTAAAAGTGTTTGGTTCCAACACGAGCCATCATCTTTAATTCCATTCCGCCTAAGCTGACGCATGACATTTTCGACAAAAACACTGAGAATGTTGAAGAGCCAAGACTGTTCCGCTTTTCGAAACCACTTGACGTTGAGATCCTGTAGGATGGCGTGGTGCTTTTCTTAAATTTGTTTCAAAATCCACCGTGTCTCTTCATGTAGTGTAGAAACGCTGCGGTTGCGCAGAGCTTGGTCACTTTGGATCGGTCAGGTTTCGGCAACTGGGGCTGCGAGGGACCACGGCGCTCGCTTGAACGCAGCGACTGCAGCCCTATGTGGGCAGCACGAGCTCTCATGCCATGTTTCTTGAGAAGTGGGACATTTTGGTGAGTTTTTTTCAAAAACACTCACTCCTGCTGTGGCGGTTACTTCAAGTGAATGATCAGTCAGTCTACTCCTGCCCCTAACGATCATGAGTACGTCACAAGAACGGTTTGAAGAACAGTTTCATCAACTGCTGATTGGATCTGATAAAGAAAACGAAGGATCTCAGGATGAGACCGCAGACGGGTCGCAACTACAAGACAAGGATCCTGACTTTGAAAGTGAATCTGGTGATGAACATGAAATGTCCTGGTCAACAACTACATCAACTCAAGACCGATGGATTTTCACAGGAGAATATGGACCAGCCGCCCACATTTTTAGTTGCAGCCATCCTGTCGTCTTCTACAATCTGTTCCTTGATGCTGGGATGATGGAGCTCGAAATCTCCGAAACGAACAGATATGGCCAGCGAAGAGCGGAGAAATTTGGATCGGACTTGAAAGGACGAAATGAAGAAATTCTCAATCTGCCCTCAGATGAGAATCGTCAGACTACTACGACTGCATGAATACTGGAGCCATCGACCACCTTTAGGTGGTCATTTACATGTCGGTCATGTTATGACCAGGAAAATGTTCAAAGAGCTTCTTTTTCCCTTCCACGTTGCCAACAACGACGAATTCGATGGAGACAAGCTGCACAAAATCCAGAAATTCTCAAGCCTCTTCAACGCGACAGCTATTAGCGCTTTCTCTATCGGCAGCGAAGTCTGTATAGACGAGAGGGCGAATTTCCTTCAGGCAGTACATACCGTCCAAAAGGCATCGCTACGGTATCAAGCTGTTCAAAATATGTGGACGAGGCGGATACACAGACAAAGTGAAGGTATATGCAGGGAGAGACCCCTCACGAATGGGCACTGTTGCGGACTCAGCTGTCATTCATGGATGAGGGACGTACTTTGTATACGGATAACTTCTACATCAGCATCACGCTGGCTGAAAAACTCCTGGAAGGCGCACGCACCTTGATAGGTACCTTGCGGAAGAATAGAAAAGGAATTCCAAAGGCAATAAGGAAAAAAAGACTAAGAAGGAACGCAGTTTATTCCCATTTTATTTCAAACCACTCCCTTTGCTAATTCATCGAGTTTGCGTCTATCATTTACATTTTGAGAGAGAATCATATAAACAAAAAACCAAACAAAAAATTGAATTACATGGTGTAGCCCATGTGTGGGCTGTGGGCTACATACATATACATATACATATATACATATATACATATATACATATATACATATACATATACATATACATATACATATACATATACATATACATATACATATACACATGTATATGTACACATGTATGTATATGCATATGTATATTCACATATATATATACACAAATATACACATACATACACGTATATACACATATGTATACACATATATGTAATATACAACTATATATACCCATATATACGCAAGTATACATACAAATATACATACACATGCATACACATACACATACACATATATATACAAATATATACAGGGTGGGCCAAAATTATGATTACACAGGCATCACATCCACGAAAACGAATAGAAAGCTAAAAAAGCAAACCACTTTCATAAAAGTGTCTATCACTATGAGACTGGGATATGTTGCTTTCTGCTTTCACACAACCCCAGAGACGACGATGGACGTCATTGACGGTGGCTCGCAGCTAAGGTCATCAAGTTGATCCCAGCTTTTTGCAAGGTATTTTCGAGATTACTTCACTTCTTGTTTGGGCTGACGGATGCTTTCACCTCAAAGACTGACCACACTGAGACACCCATGGGATTTAGGCCACGGCTCCAGAGTGGCCACTGATCGAAAATGTGAGTTCAGGAAACCCCTTTCACGAAATTTCTTGACAATTTCTGATCTGCGGACAAGAGCTTCGTATTCACAATATGTCCAGTTTGAATCGCCAAAGTGTCCTATCGCGCACGAAGCCTTCGAACAGGTCTCTAGATCAACTTTCACTACTTATTCTACAAAAATAATCGGTGCTTTTGCCTCATCGCTGACGCTCGCAAAGGGTATTGCAGAAAGTCAGCGATCCAAGTGCTGCATCAGTTCCATTTCTTTCAGATCTATACAAATCTTGTAGCCCTGTTTATTCAACACCTTTTTCACCGCGGATATCTTTTCGCCGGTGAACAGGAATCCCGTACGACAACTTTTTGTATGCGTCGGGGCAGCTTTGGTGAGCCAACATTTCTCTTCTTTTTAGTCTGCTCACTGGGGGGAACACTTTCTGATCGTATAAAGGCCTTCTCGTGCAGACTATGCTTCACGGTTTCGCGCAGAGAGCTTCATGAGATATCCATTCATTTAGTCATTTTTCGCTCAGAATGAACTACGCTGCTACGCAGGCCTTCGTCCTGCTTCCTTAAAACTCTCACTAAATATAACCGCAAGCCTTTTATGTTTACCATTCCTATCTGCAGTTGTTCCCAACTCTCGAAAGCGTCTTATAATCGAATGTACCCCCTGCCTTGTTACGTTGAGTCGTCTGTAGATGCACCGTGCCAAAAGTGCTTGCAAATGCAAAGTGACTATTTATTCACGAGGTAATTACGCTTACATTGTTTTCAAAATCTACCAGAAGCTTAATATCATCAGGAAGGTAATAATGTAATCTACCTTGTGAAATAGAAGGAAGCGAACGAATCGCCATGCCCCCAGAAAAAATCCGCTATGAGCGTCAGCGCGTGCTGTAATCATAGTTTTGGCCCACCCTGTACACATATATATTTACACATACATACACATATATACAAATATATAGACACATATATATATGCAAATATACATACACATATACATACAAATATACATACACATACATACACATATACATACACATATACAATGCGTTTCATAAATATAGGGCCACCCTGATTCTTCGCGATTCCAAATTTGCTGTGCATGTTGAGAAAATGCTGCTATTACCGATAGATTGCCCATGTCGGAAAACCTTGGTAACGTTGTTCTGAGAGATTTTCTACTCCAAATAACCTAAATAACTTACCCGGAACGAATTTTCTGTATATCATAAATACGGGTCCACTCTCAAAAAAAACCCGTTTATCTTCTTTCATAAGGGAAAATTGGGATGCGAAGTCATGCAAGAGTTTGCTCGGTTTCGTGTAACTATGCCTCGCGCTACTCGTCTCTCTAACCAGGAACAAGTTTAAGTCAGAGCACTGTTTGAAGCCGGATGGTCGAGAAGGAGGATTGCCGCCCATATGGGCCGGTCACGCAACTGCGTTAACAAGTACCTGCGGAATCCTGATCAGTACGGAAAGAAGAATAGTCCAGGTCGACCACAACTGCTTTCTGCCCGAGATGAAAGAGCATTTGGACGTGTTTTGTCAAATTCAGCGAATAGCCTGAACAGGGTCCGCGCTAAAATGCGGCTTCGTGTGAGCAAAACCACTGTCTGGAGGGTAACCCAGCGGAGCGAAAGCATCACCGGAGAGCTGATGAGGAGGGTCCCAAGACTATCGGAGCGACACAATGTCGCAGGCTTGAATTCGCCGTGAAAAATGTTTCATACGGTTGGAAGAAGGTGCGGCTATTACGACACTTCGCAGTCTTTGACTCCATAACTTTACTTTACGTTCTAGGTAATCTGGAGCGACGAAAAGAAGTTCAATCTAGACGGCCCTGACAGTAGAAGAGGGTATTGGAGGGATCTGCGCAAAGCATCCTTGGTTTCCGAGCGACGTAATTTCGGTGGAGGATCTCTCATGGTTTGGGACGCCTTTTGTGCAGCTGGACAGTTTGGACTTGCTTTTGTTCCCTATTGTATGGATTCCGTAGAACACCAGAGTGTGCTGAAGGAGCGACTTTTACCCTTTCTTCGACAACACCGTCGTCGTTCATTGATTTTTATGCACGATAACGCGGCTGTGCATGTCAGTCGTTCCACTTCGGANCGGGTTGCATGTAGAAATATCACAGTACTCGAGTGACCTGCATGTTCTCCAGACTTGAATCCAATGGAGAACATCTGGGCCTTCATTGTCAAGAAGATCTACGGCGAAGCAAAGCAGTACAACACAGTCGAAGAGCTCAAACTGTCCATCCTCGACGCTTGGACAATTTGGGGTCCCAATTTGATAGCTAGCTTGGTCGAGAGCACACCAAGACGCATTGGTGAAGTCCTTGCGAATAATGGAGGACCAACCCATTATTAAGAAGTTGTGACATCCACTCTGTTGTAATAAATTTTTTCGTTAAAGAATGCGCAGTCATACTCATGAAAAGGTGAGAATTTCTTGCAAGGGAATTATTTAACCAATTCTAAAGTGAAATTCCTTCACAAAATCTGTATCAAGCTTGCCCGTTATGAGGAATCTATTGGTTATGGCAGCGTTTTCCAAAATTGCGCTACAAGCTTGGAAATGCAAAAATTTAGGGTGGCCCCATATTTATGAAACGCAGTGTATGTATATACAAATATATATATACACATATATATACACATATATACACATATATGCACATATACATACACAAATACATTCACACATACATACACATATATATATACAAATATATATATACATATATACGTATATATGCACATATATATACACATATATATACACATACAGTAGCGCTCAAAAATATTCGGCCAACTTTAACTTGCCGTGACTTTTTTCTCAGTGGAGTACATGCAATTTTGATATGTTTGACTGAAGCATATTTAGCACTATCCAATACTATTTGACTGCAAAGCAGCAATGTTCACATAATTAAGGGGAAGGCGTTTGTAGACTATGCTGAAAGCAAGTTTGTGACGTCTGCAGTTATTCGCACCTTATTTGCGTTTTTCTCCTCTTCTGGGTTCCGCATTAGCGCTTGTACACTTTGGACATGACAAACAGGAAAGAAATGCTAGAAGCACCAATGTCCCTATTTTTAGTTGGTTTCGATTTCAAGCTCTTTGGGATATTTGGAGCATGATCAAAATGCAGGTTAATAATGGTATAGTATTTGCGTTATTACAATCTATTCACACTACACCAATGCTACAATATTGAAGTTTCGCATGATTAGATCCAGTGGGAAAGGAGCTACGGCTGGAAATTATAACTGAAGAAGCACTTCGCCGAATAATTTTGAGCGCTACTGTATATATACATATATATACACATACACACATATACATATACTCATATACATAAACACCATACATACATTCATGCATTCATACATTTATACAGTGATTGGTAGATTTATTGTTGTATGGCACGGACCCTTTCTTGGTTGTCATTCCAAACGTCCGTTAAGGGTGAGTTACCCTCGCTGGAGTCAATATAAAACGTAGCAGTGTTTTGCAAGCGTTTAGCGGGGCCTTTACGAAGAAGCAAAAGGAAAACATAATTCAATGATGAAACTCATTGCCTGTAAATCCACCGCCCTACCAGCTGCGCATAGCTTAAGGATGGATACAGTGACTTAGACCTAGAGGCGTTCGGTTTTCTTGTGAGTCGGTTTGTACATTCATTTGATATTCGAGGGCCCTATTCTTAGAGCTGCCTTACATGGCTTTATACCTTCATGATTTGCGTAGATCTCTTCATTTTGAGAGGCGATAATAACGAACATCGCCAACTTAGCGTTTTTTCTAGAGTCGACAATCATCTTCTAAGGCAGTTGGCTAATTGAACATTCTTCCTATTACTAAAATGTAATTTAAATATAATTTCCAGGGATAGCTCCTTGTCGCTCCCTCTCCTGCTTTTTATGTCATGCTCAGGATAAAAGAGAAGCCGTGACGTCAACCAAAGGCGGTGCCAAAGATTATATTTTGAATCGCGTAAAGCACTTGAGTATAAGATGAAAAACTATTTAAATGACACTGTAGTTGTTGAGAAACGAAAGCGAGTAGAGGCAAATGAATGTGGGCAGAAGAGAATAACAAAGAAGCCAAGATAGTCGTACAAAATCATTTCATCAAGGTTCGGCGCCGCGTGATGCACCGTTGTCGGGCTCCAGTCCCTCTCGATATCACGCAGAATGCGCATCTCGTCCTCTGATCGGATCGAAAGTGACTGCAACTTCATCGACAGTGGTAATCAGTCGAGCAACAGCTGTTATAGAGCAGCTACCTGAGGTGGGAACATGATTTTACATTATATTGAGAACCAAGGCCATGTGACGTAAGTGGTGATTCTGCTCGGTAAAATTTGCAGTGATTTCTGCTCGAATACTGAGCCTATCCGGAATAGCATTCAAGAACCGTCTGCACCCTATGTCTCGATAAATTTTGAGCCACTAGCGAATCCTCCATAGAGTTTTTGCCCTGATCTGTCAAAATTAACAGCCCGAGATAAAAACGTTGGGGAGACCGCATGACATCTACCTGGAAGCTTACAGAAAAGCATTGGCCAATCCAGTTCTCTACACATGGAGCAGTTTTCCATGGCACCACGCATTTGAGTATGAGAGAAAAAACGCTCCGTTCCTCGATGTGAGTTTTTCCATAAATATAGGGTGACCCACATGAAGTGTGACGCAGAAAACTAGTATCAAAATTATACAAATCAAACCAAAAGAGAGCATTTACTCCTTTACAATCATCACAAAATTGTAAACAACATATCACATCTCACCATGCAGAAGGACCATATTTCGCTTCAATGCAGGCATCCAACCTCTTTCGGAAGTTTTCAAGAATGCGCGCAAACACTTTCATCCTACGCTTCTACAAGAGAGCTTTTTTTTAGAGCGTCCAGACTTGTTTAATTTTGTCTTATTTTGACTTCTAGACTTGTTTTGAAAGCGCACGCTTTTTGCTCTGGGATCGTTGATACAGCAAAATCCAAAGGATTGATATCGGGGAATTTGAAGGTCAAACCTGCTTCGCCTCAAAAACCTGGAAGTGTGGTTTCACAACATTACAGCATTTTCTTTGCGCTGTGGGCTGGTGCCCAACTCTACGAAAGCTTTAGCTGACGTTCATCGCGTTCCTTTCCGCCCAAGTGATCACCGCATCCTCCAGCCTAGAAGCCCATAAGTTGATTTTTTTATTGCCCGTCACACTTCATGGGGGTCACCCTGTATTTGGTATGGTCCTTGAAAGCAAAATCATGGAATTACGGGTAATATACCGCAATAAGCCAGGATTCAATGCGAAAGAGGACATGCGTGGCCTTAGACCGATTCAATCTGGTAACATCTCAATTTATAGCGGTGTCCCCTATTCCTTCCAACTTTCCCGCCGTTAACTATTTCAGAGATCGCTTTGATAGGTGCTTTAATGTAAGTGGTAACTGAATGATGGTATGTGATTATGTATTGTGAACATGGGATTTGATGGAGGCCTCAAATCGGATAGCTTAATACCTTCTTAGACTTAGTTCCTCCAACGCCGTTGGGCATATCGGGCGATTAAGTCTTTTCACTGTTGCCGGTCCTGTGCAATGCCTTCTCCTTCGTCCCTGGAAACGTCCAGACTTTGAGGTCGTTGTCAAATGCTCTTCCCCACGTGTTTCTGAGACGGCCTCTACCTCGCTTGGCTCCTTTAGGTGTCCAACACAGCCATTTTTGGGATGCGTTGCTGCGGCATGCGCAACACGTGACCAGCCAATCTACTCCGTGCCACGATCACGTAGAGGCTATTCATACCAGAACGGCGCAGAACTTCCTCATTCGTGACGTGATCCGTGTACCGCATCTTCATAATCCTTCGCAGACATGCCTAGTGGGAAGCATACGTCTTTTTGACTGAACTCGCCTTATATTTCCATGTTTCGTTTGCACAAATTGCGGTAGGGAACACAATGGAAGAACACAGGCGGATCTTGATGTTCCGAGGTATGAACGATAGTGACCATATTAGATATAGTCTCCTGGACACCTCTGTAGCTTTTGCAATCCATCTACAAATGTCTCTTTTGATATCGCCATCATGGGTTATCGTACTCCCGAGATAAGCAAACTTGTCGTTGTTTTCAACATTGTATCCTCCACATTGATGTTCACCTGCGTGCAAGCTTGACCGATTGGCATGGTTTTTCGACTTACTGGCGCTGATTCGTGAAACAATCACGCTCGCTTTTTCACTGAGAGTATCGACGACCTTTTGCAATTCATCTTTGTTTCAGCAATAAGTGCGATGTCATCCGCAAAGTCCAGATCAGTAGGCCTTCCATCTTTATACCACCGTACGCCTACCGCTGCTTGCTGTATTATTTTCCTCATGACAAAATCTAGGCAGATTTTGAACAGCGACAGCGAAAGGATGCACCCTTGCCGTACTCCCGTAACGATTCCGAAAAATGAAGTATTACCTGTATCCGTCTTTGCACAACATGAAGAGTTGATTCACGGTGTACGCTGTTGAATGGTTTTCTGAGGTCCACGAAATTGATGAAGAGTTGATGCTTAAACTCAATGCAGTGTTCGACAATTTTACGGAGAGTAAATATTTGCTCACAACACGATCTTCCTTTTGTGAAACCTGCCTCTTCTTCTCTAGCTTGGCTATCAATTGCATCACGAAGTCGTCGCAACAGTATGAAATGCTTTTCCAGGAACCGAAAGAAGTGTGATACCTCTGCAATTTTCACAATTCGCCAAATTTCCTTTTTTAGGTACCTTCATAATCACTCCTTTACCTCTCTATTTACCTTTGACCTCTCCACCATTCCAGCATTGATCATACAATTCCGTGAGCTTCTTCACAATCGTGCTGCTACCTGCCTTTAACAATTTTGCCGGGATCTCATCTATGCCAGAGGCTCTCCCGTTGCGAAGGCATCGAATTGCTTTTGTCTTCGATTGTCTCTTCTCGGGCTATGCTGCCTCTGCTTAATATTCAATGTAAAAATTACGGGCTTCGTGAGCCTTATCGAGAATGGTCTTAAGTTTATTAGAGTGCGCAGCTGTCAATGTTAAAGTTTCTATCAGTATGACACTTCTATGTTCATGCTGCTTATGGGATTTCATTTTGTGAGCATTCAAGTGAGCTGAAGTCAGTCTTTTCTGAGCTCTCAGTGATTAATACTGAACCGATTCCAGTAGCGCAACAGTGCAGCCGCTACCGTTGTCCTTCCTGCTTTCATTCTTGGTGTTTGCCATTTCAATATGAGCACTCTTCTTGCCTCCGCTTCATCCTTTAACTTCGGTTGAGTCAAGACAACAAGCACCACAGTAAACAATACACTGTTACAATAAGAGCTTGAAGGTTTGGGTTGGGGTTTGGGGGAAGGGGGGGGGGCGTGAGACAACGGATCACCCGTTAGAGGGACGGCAGTGCCCCGTTCGAGCAGATGGAGAATAAAGCTGACTCACTGTGCCAGAGAGGCAGATGCAAAAGCGGACACAAAAGTACGGAGCCGCCATTGCGTTCATGAAATACGAAACGAGATTAGAATTACAACTATTACATTATACGAGAGAAAAAAGAAAATGGTGGACCGCGAAATGCGGACAAAATTGATATAGGATTAAGGAACGGCGAACGGATGCTGAAATGCTGAAACCGCCAACCCACTCAAGCAGGCCTTTGTTGACGGTGTACGGTGTAATCAGGACGATTGATGTACAAGAATTCGAAAAACTGACCTGATTCGTGGACACGTATGTATTATACTATGCTTGCAGCACTTGTGTGCCGCAGTGGGAACCGAAGCATACAGTTAGCGAATACCATAGAGTCGGAAACACACCTGCGTACTGACTAAGAATGACAGGAGCTTAGAGATGGTAAGACTTTAGGTCCCTTACACCGATTGTCATCTCGTTAGTAACACTCTTTGAAATAGCATGTAAGCTGAATCCGAAAAAATGCGAATGCATTCTGAAAATTTATAATCAAGCCTGTTTCATGTGGCGCAATTCGAACGTGGAGGATACCTTCATAAACTCGACTTATCGGTTTTTCCGGACGCAGACGATAGGCATACCTCTTGACGTTCCTATGGAGACAATATTTCGAGAACGTCACTCAAGTCTGAATCAGTTTCAGCAGTCAAGCTTATGCATCAGGCAATAATCGATTGATTTTTGCCGGTTTCACTAACGCACAAAAACAAAGTGTATCCCTTCGGTGCCAGTGGAATTGAAGTGATGAGTTCATTTTCGGAGTTCCTAACGGTATCTATCATTCCTTTGTCTGAATGGCAACCGCTGGAAAGTGGATCTCTTCAAGAAAGCCTCAGAGCTTCAAAATTTCGGAGAACAACGAGGTTATCGAATGATTGTACCTCTCTTCCCGAAAAAACATCTGTTTGAAACAGAAAAGTCGTTCCTATCCACTTATTAATGATTTGCCAAGAGTTCTAATTATAGTATAAATTGGGCCAACAGCTTGTTTTTGTGCACTGGAACTCAGGACGGAAGGGCTACGAATCTCTTTCGATGGAATGTGCAGTCAGGCCAGTTCCAATCACATCCCTACAGTGGCATTTTCAAATGAATCTAGGCAAGGGAAGTGGGAAGGAATAAATTGTTTTTGTTGTCTTGCAAACCCATTTGATTGGATAGGTGCCGCTCGTTGAGTAGTTATCCGTAAGATGCTATAATGGTGCCCTAGATGCAAAAATACTGTCCAGAAGTGTCTCAGTTTGTACTGTTGCTCACGATCGAGTTCAGAATTCATGGCAGTTTTTTTTTGTAACAGATGGATCGCACGTCACAAGCTCAGACTCTGCTGAATCTGAGTCAACTGCGATTCGAATCGATCCCTCAAGTCCATCAGCTCCTACCACTGATGCCGAATGCATCTTGCCGTCATGATGAGTCTTCCGCCCTGTCAGGGCCATTTCCATTCAACTCTGCTCTTCTGCACAATTTTGGTTCTCGTTTGTTGCTACAGCAGGTATGAGTTCTCCAGTGAACCTAACCTTTGAACATTGCTGCTTGTTGGGTTAGATTTTTTTCTCCGTTAATTCATTGACTATCTTCAGCAGCCAATAAATGCAGAACAAACAATTCTCAACACTAACAATTTCAAAGAGGATGAGGGAGAAGAAGAAGATGAAGACGAGGATGACGGTTCGTTGAATTTCTTTTCAGTGATCGTTAATATCAGTCTCTTTCGGTGGGTAATCTGGTCTACATCACCATAATTCTGAATGTTCTCGCTCATAATTACTATTCAGCATTCCCATTAGTGAGCTTTCATGTACCGAATGTTTTCTGATAACAGTATGTGAAAATATGTAAAACGGAGGTTATGAAGATGAAGATACATTCTTACAATCATATCCAGTGCGTTCTTGCAACTTTCTTATTTTAGCTTTGAGATTTTGCCAATAATTTTAGATTCTAAAGCGCCTTGGCGTCAATAGTATTAGCGAAGCCAATGATGTGAACTTATCTGAATTTTTTTCAACATTTATAGTATGCATATTGACTAAATGCAGTTCATGCGGTGTAATGTATCAGTTCCAGCGCGACGGAAAACCCTCTATCTGGGCAAGTTTTCCTCCTTACCTTATTTGGATCTTATTATTATAATTCATATCAACACGTTGAATTTCAGGCGGTTGTGTGGAACTTTACAGAGAATATTTTATAAAATTCCACCTTCAATTTCATGACATACTAAATGCAGCTTTGGAATATGTGGTTTCACTGGTGTAAAATGAAGGCTTCCATGTGTCTGTTCAGCTTTTTACAAAATTTGTGCAACACGATTGCGGAACAGCGTGAATTTACTGTTTGATTGTCATCGAGACTTGCTACTGTTTACAGATCATCCGGCTAAGGTCTCCGTTGTCACCTTTTTCGTAGCTTGAAAAAAATGAAGAGAAAATATAAAAAATGTAATGTGCAATAGGTGCGTTTCTACTCAATGCATAAGGATGCTTTGTGAGTTTTACGACACTTTCACAATCAGTATATCTCTATTCTACGGGTTCGTCAGGGCGATACCATTCCGCCCAAACTTTTCAGTGCCGTCCTCATGAAGACCCCTCAGAACAACATGCGTTATTTGGAATGATATCACTTGGGAATGAAGGTCCACAGCCTCTTCTTATATCATCCCTAAGTGAGCAGAAGGAAAAGCGCCGCTTGGGGAGCATTTGAGAATATCGAGGGAGTAGTGGAGAAAACAATGTACCCCCGGCTTCGCGCTCACCCTCTCGACAGTGCTGTCCTTCCTGCTTTGTCGTCTCCTCGGAGATTCGGATTTACAAAGGCGCGATAGACATGCTGTGAGTCTCGCTCTACGCACTTTTGGAAGGGCCATGCTGTGAATTTTCTTATACACGTAAATGAAGAAGGGAATCTAAAGTCCGAGCTCCGTCAACGAACGAAAATCAGAGATGGCATTGCCTACGCCAATACATGGAGATCGGGTGGTCCGCACACCTTGTGCCAAATCGTGATGAGCTCTGGACAAGAGCGGTTATTGACTGGATCCTTGGGGACGTTAACGAACACCAAGAGGCCGCTAGCGCGATGGTCAGGCTTCTTCACGCGAGCTCTGAACGTGAAGATGCTCGCGTCTCTCAAGCAAGGACAATCCACTGAACCGCTTTGGCGTCCGACGGGAACGAATGGAGATAGTACTGGCGCTCGCTCGAGGATTCGTGGTCAACGAGACGATAAGTGATACGGGAGGAAAAAAATTCCGGATACCTAAACGATAAAGATTACGGTGAGCGGCAAGGTCGAAGTTCCTAGCTTTGTCGTCAAATATGGTGTAAGCCATCTCAAACCTACAGATTCGGGTCATTGATTGACCTTCAATATTTGAATAGTTCACTAGGCAGTACCGCTATTCGAATAAGGGGTAGACAGAGAGCACGGCCAACCCTCCTATAAATAACATAGGACTCATAAGGTTAGCGAGTTATGGGTCACATTTCGGCCTCAGGTGGATTCGAGCCCACCTTGGTGCTATCCGGGCACCATGCTCTTATCCCTTACACTACCGCGATCCGCTCGACATTGCCTTTTTGATAGGTCCTGTCCGAGGTCAGAGTGTTGGCCATACCTCGCAACCTTTGATAGTCCTCGACTTCTTGGGATGCTAGATGGCTATATCTGCTGAAAGAGGTCTGTACTATGTGGCTAGATCTCTGACAGGCAGCACTTTGATAATTTTTACAATTTTGAAGGAAAATTTTTTATGATTGTGTTTTTGACTTTCGCTTGTACTCTATATCATTATCGGACTCGACTAATAGTCTCTCAAAACCAGTCTCCAAGTCGTCTACGGCGGGCTGTTCCATTTTTGACTCTTAGAGCTATAGTATGCTCAAAATCAGGATTGGTAGGAGTAGAAAACTGATACCTACCTAATTTATAGCTGTTTGAAACCTAAAGATGAGAAATGACCATGAGAAATGTGAAAATACTTGTCGCAGAAAAATGAGTGACCCTTGGGACAGCGCGGCTCAACGTTGAGCCGCGGGAACGGAAAGCTTCAAAGCTTGTATCATCCCGACTGGACGCATGACGATTTTCTTCTATTGAATACAATACTAGAAAGAAAAGTCAGACAGAGTGCTTTTGAATTTGTGAGGTTCCATTGTTCACAGATGTTGTCTTTTGCAATGATGAACAGCGACCACACGGCCCCATTCCATTCTATTCTGTGAATCTCTGAGAATTCCTGAGTAGTTTTCTGTACCTGGTAAGCATTCGGTTGGTGTCTATCAAGAGGACTAATGCTCCTAACGTGATGCGTTCGGAGTTTGCCGTTTTGCCTAAATCCATCCGTTAACATCTTGTGTGGTCTTGCAGGCTTGCATAAAATTTAATATTCAATATAAAATTGCAAACGCACGTTTTTTGGATCATGATTTCTCATAATAATCCGTCGCCATAAAGACATTCGATCATCTTCACAATCTTCTTTGGTGAAGTAATAATAATCGAGGCAGCTCGAAAACGATGCGCACCGTTGGTCAGCGAGAGCCCTTACTACCCTCTCTTCACTTACCAGGAAAGGGTTCCAAGTTCCCATGGAACTTCGAATGGAAACAAAAGAGCTTAGCAGAAATAAGGTGGAAAAATATTCGAGTAAGTGCGGTGATAAGTGATAGATAAGGGATCGCAAAAAGCGACTGAAGAACTTTCATTCGTACAAAAGCACGTTTTGCAAAAACTAATACGTTCACGGGAAGCAAACCCGTATTGCTCGGCTGAGGAGAAGCACTGTCCCTGCGCCACGGCAATCCTTATGACTTTTGCGGGCAACTGAACATATCTATTGGCACTCTCACTCCATGCTTTACTCATGCAGTCTCTAAGCGCTCACAACTTTTCTGTAAGCTCGTTCAGCTGCTTCAGTATCTAATTTTGCTAATGGCTTTCCAGTTCTTCTCAATATACCTAGGTCTCTATTCAAAGTTTCATGAGAGTTTAAAACTCTCCCCTGGTTAGAAGCTGACAGTAAGAACTGTAGAAGTGTGCTCTCAGTCAATTGAACAAAGCATTGACTATTTAGACTTGGGCGTTAGCCGAAAGAGTGACGCATCTGATGACGGTGCAGATCATGACGGTGGTCCAGATGGCAACGCAGGATCGGTTGCTGCCAGGAAATCACGCAACAGTAGTGAGTAATATTATATTCATTGCTAAGCAAAAGCCCAACCTCAATTTGACACTTTGGCCGAATTCTCAGGAGAGTTTGTGGGTGAAGACAAAGCTGAGGGGTCATTGACACCTCTCGACTACATGGGACAACAGACGCCCAACATTTTTAGAGCCACAAAGACCCATCAAATTGACCATCGGTCAATTTAGCAAATGCCTTGGAATCTTAAATAGGAGCAACTGCGTATCATCTGCATAACTTACTCCCTTCATTAACGAATAATAATGCTAAGGAGGTCGGCTCGTCGCTCCCTAAATATTGGAAAGTATGTACAGCCTTTTCATGATATGGCATAAAAAAGTAACTTCGGTCCAATTATTCAGAAAGATCAGGGCACGCCTGCCATCAAGCACTTTCTCGAGTGGTGAAACTCTTCCCTTCAAAATTGTGAAAAAAAATCGAACAGTTCATCGCCTACATGATTGCGGACCCAAACTCTCGTGTCAAGGGGCAGATTGAATATTCGAAAATTTCATTTTCGCAAATACTATGTGGGCTCTTGACAAGGAAGTGTTTCAGCATAACAGAACTCTGAACAGAGATCTTGGTGATGAATAGAATCTGGTATGTTATTCATGGATAGAAAAAACAGACTGCTTAATGGTTTACCCGAAAAAACTTTTCAGCGTTCTACTGTCGAAGAGACAGAATTTTGAAAATGCGTTTCTCAGGCATCGACAGCATGCTTGGGGTTTTATTGACAGTTCTACTCTCGCTTTTATTGCGGAGAGCCAGGGTTCACCCGATCATCAATTCTTTTAGAGTTCCATAAAGTTCCCTGACATTCAACGTTCAACGACGAGTTGAAAATCATTCCTTGTGTTTTTCGTTGTATGACAATACTACGATACGTAGCACCTTTACTGGCCTTGAATTTCATTAGTTGGTGTAGATAGTTGTTGAGCGGCCTGTTCAACTGACGTACTTGACGCTCTCGACTGTTCTCTGTGAGTTGGACCTGTGTCCAATTTCAATAGTGCCTCTTGATTCTCAGAACAATTTCAATTGGCATATCCATAAGTGTGTTTGAATATTGACAACAATCGTGACTGACTCAATCATACAGTCTTGAGCCATTATGGTTTTGAAATAAGTACTGAACTCAGCGTGGCCATGTTACATGGTTCGAAAAGTTCCAGCCATTTCGCACTATTTTGCGTCATTACGGAAAAATTGAAAGTGAAATTGCTTTCGCGAAAAAATTCTGATTCGAACGTAACGTCCTTTGAATGGATGTAGCCTCTCGTATTCACTTGTATGTAATTTTTTTCATTGTTAAATATCGGCGCATTGAAGACAAGGTCTATGGGGCACAAATTTCAAGAGGAATTACCAAAAGTAATCGCATTTCACAGCTCCAAACTTCCACATATCATGCAACCTCCTCTCTTACTCAAGAATATCATTCGAGAAAATTTGTTTTCTCTCAATTGGTCAAGATGTTCACTGTGTATGAAGCACTCACGTTTATACTTTCTTCTGTCCATCTGTCTGTCTGCCTGTCACGAAATTCAGCATCACCTCAAGGAGGACTTGGAGAGGTCTTGTCAAGGAAATGGATGAGGAATAGCGCAAAACCAACAAAGCTCATGTGAGCTCGGCAGTGCCCCCCTGTTCGAAGAACCAAATTTCTTAGTTTGTTCTCGGAACAGTCCAGTAATCTGAAAGTGGAGAAATAGGTCAAAAGATCGGACAAAAAGGCCCACCAGCGATGGACAGGGCCTTTTGAAGTGGGCAGTGTTTGCTTGATAAATTTATAGCTCGAGTCTGTGAAAGCGTTGAGGCTAAAATAGAAAATTGTAGAAATGAACATGGTCTAAGGTGTGACAGGCATTCCTGCATTGAGCTAGGTCTCCATGTGCGGACCCTATTCTCGGATGGATGGTGCTGTGTTGAGAACTTATAATTTCACTCAAAACATTTTATTCCAGAAACATTAAGACATTCCAGAAAAAGTGATCAGAGACCTTCGAAGAAGAAGTAGTGCATTATTCATAGTATGCAAGGCACCGAGCTGGATATGGCCAGAATCCTGGTTTCACTCAAGAAAGTTCCATGTTGTCACGCGCACGTTAGCGAACATTAGCGAGAGCGATACATCTACAGGGTGTTCCAAGGTTATGGGCGCTGATTCATTATATATGAAGCTTTCCAGCTGAGAATGACATTGGAATCTCTATGCATGTTTGCTCTCATTGTCTGCTACAGCATGCTACAATCGCATTTTAGAATATCCCCCATAAGCGGGAATAGAGGCCCAAAAGGTGCTCTCGGACTCCTCCTACGTTGCACGCAGGCATGCACCGTTGCACCCATGCACTCCTTCCCGAGTCTTGCTTTCTAGGGCTACAAACTATGACGGCTTACCGACTGGTCCTCATCTAATCAGGGACAATACGAGGAGCCAAGTGAGTCAGGACCTGGAAAGCAGGATGGCCATTCCTTTTTGCCAATGAAGTCGGGGGGCAACCAGTGCCGGCAACACTCCAGAACGAGTGGTGTCGAGGCTGGCTGTGTTGGCTCTGTGGACTGAAGTACCATCCTGCTGGACGGACTACAGGGTATTTCAGTAAGAGGAGTCGGATCAGTGCTCCATTACGTCCATTAGCCATTTCCTTTGAGTACAGGTGTCTGTCAGTTTTCACGCCGGCACCAACGTAACCAGGAGCGTCTTCCCTTGCCAGTGGCTCCCTCACTAAATATCATTTTACTGTTCTGACAGCAAGTTTTTTTTGTGAGAGATTACTTGTTCGATGTTTGTAACCAGATCTTGTTTGTTTTATTTATTGACGAATGGTTTTTTTCGTAAAAATTCTACAGTTAGAGAAAACGATGACGGGTTGCATAGCTCCGCGCTCAAGTGAGTTTATAACTTCTTGCATTTTTTGGCCCTACAGTGTCTGTTGAGACCGGGAATGAAGCGACAGTTCTGCATATGAAGAGAGCGGCGAAGAAGCTTCTGTTTGACAATTCGCCCCACCAACGACCTCGAGAAATTCTGCTACTTTGCCTTCTTTTTGATAGGTCACCTAGAAACGCGATCGACTCATAAACAAACTTTCTTAATAGTCCTATATTTAATACGTTGGCGACCATGGGCGTCCCGATGCCAGGACGCATGTTTTTGGCTCACTGGGGTATTTATATCATTTATCAAGTGTTCCTATAATTTTTTCATGTTTTCATGTATCAGCTGAGCTCGCAGCCTTCTAGAGAATCTCGAAGCATTGTGGTCCATGAATCATCCCTTTCTATCTACAGATATAAAAGAAAATAAAGGTCAATGTAAGGACAATATAAAAGCGCGGTCGCCAATGGGTTGAATCACTGGATTTTCTACCCCTTCCTGGTTGGTCTTGTGGACTTTTCTTTTCTATATCATTGAATAGCCTTCTGTACGGGCACTATAAGAATCACAAGAAGTTTCATAATGCCCTTTCGCTTCTCGCATGTTGACTACTGCAAGGGGCATTGAATGAGCCTTGGCCATCTATAAGATTTTGAGAGTTTCACTCCAGCAGTCATGAATACTGCCAGAAAACCTACCTGCGCAACTGATCAATAGGGGGTGAAGTGAATTTGATGAGATGTTTCTACCTTATTGTTAGAGGTTTCTGAATTTGGGCGCTTTTGTGAATACACAATCATATTAATGTTTATGATAGATCAAGGCCTTTACATGATGAGTGATAACATGCTAGTTCAACATATTCACCCTAGACATAACTTGATCTCTACCTCTTGAGATGGCCACAGGCATGACCTGGCGGCATCATAAGTGTGCAATCAAGTATGTAACTTGAGTTCTGCCGTTGATGCGGTCCGCTCTTTCATCCCCCGAACTTGAGTACCGCCACGGAGGTCCAGTCGCGATACGGTATCTCAAGACCACCCACATGTTGTGTAGATGAATCGCGTGAATGTTTTGTTATGGTCGATCTTTGTACTAAACGTCGTAATAAACCTTTGTTGCACGTTCCTAGTATAATACAATCTTCCTCTGGTAATCTACCAAGGGCGCCCATAGTTCTCGGCGAACCTAAAGTATTCTTTGTTTGGAACTATTCATCTCAAAGCACTTAAAGACAAACGGGACTTGATGCTAGCCAGTGATGGCATCAGCATCCGCCAAGCTATAGAACCTCTCAAAGTCAGACATCAACGGACTGAAAAGGTCTTTATATCGTCATTTCCAGTAAGCTTCGGGCAAGGCTCTCTCAAGTGGTAGGAATGAATCGATTTCTTGAGCAGCTGAATTTGAGTAACAAAGACGTTCATCTCATTCCAGCGTATCAAAGCTCAAGAGTAGTGGGGTTGGTGATAATTTTCGACGCCGTTAATTTCGTTCATTTGGACTCGATTGTTAAATGTAATGGAGGAGGGACGGTTTAAAGCATCTAAACGTAAGCCTCAGCGTCAAACGTTTGTGAGCAAAAATTCATAATCTGATTGATCCTTTGAATTTATTTCATCGCATACTTTGTCATCATTTTGCAGTAAAACGATTTCTGTCCATTAAATTATCTCTTTTTTTGTGGTCGTTTTGAAGTTTGGTCTCTGCGTAGTATCACTGAAGAAATCACATCAAATTTCGTATTTCTATTATGATTGATCTCAACTTCGAAGCATGAAATGTGTTCCTATCGAACCGAATTTTCGTCCCGAATATTACTTTGCAGATGGTCACCAACTCAGATTTACTGTGGATTCGGGTGGTGAGTGTGAGCATTTGATTAAGCATTACATACGTATTATTTTTTTTTACTCGGTAGTGTTTTGAGACTTCAGCTGAAGTGTGGCAGAATTACAGGTGTCCTATGTCATATGGAACGTGGGTGCTATTTTCAATTGGTAGCTTTCACAGTTACGACTTTCTTAATTAATTAACCATTATATCTGTTCTATACACTTTGTATATAAAAATAGAACTGAACATTCTTCATAGGATTCCTCAGGCATTTTGCTAGACTGCCGAGAGTTGAGATTGATTGTCGCTTTTTTCTGAAAAATCGTTATTTCGAAATGTGCATTTTTTAAAATTGCAGTACTTTTGTTGACGAAACTTCCTAGAAACAATCGAGGTATCTCGATAGGGCAAAGACTAGAGGGCTAGAATGCGGTGGCCATTAAGAGGAGATATGTATGAAACTATGTATGTTCCAATACAGCTTTATTCTATTAAACAGGACACGAGGTTGAGTAATACAAATAAGTCGGCCGACGTTTCGGCGACTTTCGCCTTTTTCGTAGCCTAAAAAA